GCACCGGGGTCACTCCTGTGAGGAACCTGGAGGAGATTCCAGACACAAATTCCACTGTGGAGCTCCAGCTCCAGCAGGGGTGGCCCAGACCCTTCTCCAACATCAACACAAACTCCAGCAGCAGGAACAGCCTGGCCGGGATAAATGTCCCAGGAAAGTGGGAGAGGAGTTTGGAGCTGCTGTGGTTTATTCCTTGTAAACTGCTCCAAGGGCAAAGCCAGAGCCAGCACTGGGGACATCTGCAATGGAGCCATTCCATAGGGCAGGAATTTTCCCCATTCCCAGCCCTCCATCCTGCCCCACATCCCTGTTCCAGGCTGACTCCAAACCCAGAGAGTTCGTTTCCCAAAGCAAGGAGGTTTTCCTCAGTTTATAGGAATTTTCAGTGCCAGTGACACCTGCAGTGAAGGTGTTCCCTGCCGCAGGAATTCCATGTTCCCAACCTTCCATCCCTGCCCCAAGCTGATTCCATATCCTGCAATTCCCTGTCTGTAACCTCATTTCCCAAACCAGGGAGGTTTCCTCCAATTTGTAGGAATTTTGACAGCCTCCTGGAGGGGAAATTTGATAAATTTGGGATGGGAAAAAGCTTCCATAGGGTTAGGATTGGGCTCCTCCTGAGCACCTCCTGCATCCCAGAATCCTTCACCAACGCCTATGGGATCAATACTTCTGGATATTCTATATGGAATGGGATAACAAATCCATAAAGATCCCAAAAAACAGCTGGGACACGGAAACAGGAAAGAGAGAAGAGCTCCAACACCTGAATCATCCCACCCTATCCCCGATCCCATTCAAGCGTCCTCCAGCGGGAATTCTCTGATCCCGGAATTCCGCCGAGGAGCTGAAATTCCTTGGAAAGCTGCAGCGAGCAGCTGATCCCTGGCAGGATCCCAGAACCCTCCTGCAGGAACATGTTGGGTTTGGAGCTCATCTCCACATCCCAGTGACAATCTGGAGACCACGGGGCGGCTGCCAGGGAATGCTGCTGGAAATAAACGCGGCTCTGTGGGGTTTGGGGAAGATGAGGGGGATTTAAGGCCTGGACAAGAGCTGGGGGATGGCCCCAAGTGGTTGGAAGGGCAGCAGAGGTGGGTTCCACGCTCTGCTTTTCCTCATTTTGGCCAAAATCCCGTGCCAGGTGAGGAATTCCGCCTCAATTTTTGGCAGGATCGGGGAATTGGGAAGGGTCAAGTGAAGGCTCGAGCTCAGAGGTGAAGCAAAACCCAGAATCCGAGAGGTCATGGAACACCAGGAAAGCCCACAGTGCTTTAACCTGGACCATCACCCGCCAAAGAGATTCCCCAGGAAATCCTCTCTCCACGGAGCTTCCAACTGCTCCGAATCTTTCCATGAACCCCTCAAGAGCAGCACCCTCACTGGAAACTGGGGGATCCCGTGGAAAATTCTGCCTTTTCCAAGTCCTTTCCTTGCTTCCCTGGCAGGTCAAGAGGAGAATTCAGGCTCAGTTTAAGATTTAAGCTCGCCCTAAGTCCACATCCTTTCTCCTGAGAGCTCTGTGAGTTTCAGGGTGGGGAGAGCTGGAAGCTGGAGCCGTGGAACAACAAAAATTCGGGATTAACGAGCTCCAAAGAGGCCACACCTGAAGGAAGGAGCCTTAATCTGCTCCTTGGAATCTTGATAAGAGCAGAATAATCGATTTTCACCTCATTAGAGGCAGGCTCAGCTTATCTCCGAGAGCACCTCGGGGATGGGTTTTTAGGGAGAAGAGGATTCCCTAAATCGGGATCAGCCCAGGCTGGGTGGGGTGGGAGGCGCTGGGCTCCCAAAAGCAGCGATTAGCAGGAGATGGAGGGAAGAAATGAGGCTGAAACTGCCGAATTCCAGAGCCGGGCACTGCTGGACTCAATCTCCAGCTGATGAAAGGGAAAACTTAAAAAGGAATTAACTCCCAGAGTGTCCCAGATCCTGGGAAAAGAGTTTGTGGGAGCTCAAAGAGCACCAAGGAGTGGGAGAAGGAGCCGGGGGTCATCCTGGGACAGGGTTTTGTTGGAATTCCTGAGCTCGGGAGGCTTTTGGCCACCCCTGATGCAGGAATTAGGATTTAGGAGTTAATTGGGATTTAGGAATGAATTAGGAATGAGGATCCTTGCCGGCTTGGAATCACAAGTGATGCCAAAAATCATGGAATAATGGAACGACTTGAGTTGGAAGGGACTGTAAGGACCATCAGTTCCACTCCCTGTCACCGTCAGGGACAGCTCCCAGGGTGCTCCGAATCCCATCCCAGCCTGGCCTTGGGCACTGCCAGGGATCCAGGGGTGGCCACAGCAAATCTGGGAATTCCAGCCCAGCCCCTGCCCGTCCTGCCAGGGCACCATTCCCTCCTAACACCCATCATTCGCTCAGGATGCAGGAAAGGTTTTGAGGAGATCTTTAGGACCAAGAACATTCCAAAAGCTTCGGGTTTCAGAGCTTAGGGTTGGCCGCGTGGTTTTTCCCAGTAGGAAAACCCAGGAGTGAGAGCAGCAGGAAGAGCCGTGGAGGAGAGAGGAAACCTCTGCCGGGTTCGTGCCCAGCCCAGCCCTGGTGCCAACCCCAAACCCACCAGGATCCCACAGAGGTCAGGCCTCCCTTTTCCATGACCCCATAACCCACAGTCCCCTGGGCCCGCTCCCAAGGCCGGAATTCCGTGGTTTTATCCGGGCCAGCAAAGGCCACTTCGGATGAGCAAAAAAATAATCCAGAGGTGCAGGAGGGTGAAAGGAGCAGGGAATGAGCACCTGCAGATCTCTCGCTGATCCTGCTTAACCCTTCTTGGATAGGGAATAAACCTTCCTTGGATAGGGAATAAACCCTTCTCGGACAGGGAATGAATCTGTCCTAGATAGGCAATAAAACCTGCCCTGGATAGGGAATGAACTCTCCTTGGACAGGGAATGAACCTGTCCTAGATAGGGAATGAACTCTCCTTGGATAGGGAATAAAACCTCCTTGGATAGGGAATAAACCTGCCCTGGATAGTGAATGAACTCTCCTTGGATAGGGAATAAAACCACCCTGGACAGGGAATAAAATCTCCTTGGATAGGGAATAAGACCACTGTGGATAGGGAATGAACCCTCCTTGACAGGGAATGAACCAATTTTCCTCCTGGATGGAGGCAGCCCCATCACCACCCCCTTGGTAGGAAAAACGTCTCCATTTTTAAGGGAAAACCCCAGCACTGGAGGGGCTGAGCTGGTCCTGGTTTGGGGCAGGGACAGGCTCAGCTCTTTCCCTGGTGTCACTCCTCAGCGTTGTGACCCACGGGTGTCATGTGCAGTTTGTTTTCCTGCCATCTCCCCCAGGAGAAAAGAGGGAAGGAATTTTCGGAGGTTTGGAAGGGATTTTACAAAAATCCTCCAAAACAGGAAACGCTGCTGGAGCAGGGACCCGGCCCTGGGGCAGGGATGGGGACGGCCTCGTGTCCCCAACAGTGTCCCCAGTGCTGTGGGGGGGTCACCCCCCCTTTCATCCCAAACCATTCCCAGCCCAGATCCAGCTGGGAAAGAGCCCATGGGGTGTGACAGCCACAAAAGGGTCCCAGCACCCCAAACCAGGCTGGGGCTCTGAGGGGGGGGACACAAGAGGGTCCCAGCACGCCCAAACCAGGCTGATCTGGGAGTGTCACCTCTGGGGGACACAAAATGGGCTCAGCACCCCCAAATTGGCTGCCCTGGGGATTCTAAGGTGACACAAAAGGGTCCCAGAACCCCAAACCCAGGCTGGGGCTCTGATGGCAGGGGGGGGACAGGACACAAAAGGGTCCCAGCGCCCCCAAACTGGCTGCCCTGGAGGTGTCACCACTGGGGGACGCAAAATGGGCTCAGCATCCCCAAATCGGCTGCCTTGGGGATTATAAGGTGACACAAAAGGGGCTCAGCACCCCCAAACCAGGCTGATCTGGGGGCTCTAAGGTGACACAAAAGGGGCTCAGCACCCCCAAACCAGGCTGGGGCTCTGAGGAGGGGAGACATCACTTCAGGGGGACACAAAGGGGGCTCAGCACCCCAGACTAGGTAGATCTCGGGGTTCTTAGGGGAGGTGTCACCTCAGGGGGACACGAAAGGGCCCCAGCACCCCCAAACCAGCTGCCCTGGGGTTGTCACCTCAAGGTGACACAAAGAGGTCTCAGCCCCTCCCCAAAGCCCCGCTTCACCCCAGAACCCCCCACATTCCCAAATTCCCTGAAATCCCAGGAAGTTCTCAGCACCACCCCCTACACCCAAAGCCCCCCTGGGGGTGCCACAATCCGGGGGGTCCCCCCCTTGTGTCACATCCCCCTTTTAGGATCCCTCCCTGCCGCCCCTGTCACGCGTGTCCCCATCGCGGGGTCTCGGGGGGTGACACGAGTGTCCCCCCCACATCCCACCCCACCCCATCCCATCCCATCCCGAGCCACCTTGAAATTCCTCGAGGTATCAGCTTGCCCGGGGGGGAAAAAGGGAACAAAGTGGAAGAGAGGGGGGGAAAAAGGAAAGGGGGAGGAAAAGAAGGGGGAAAAAGGAAACAGGGAGGAAAGGAAGGGGGAAAAAAGAAAAGGGGGAGGAAAGGAAGGGGGAAAAAAGAAAAGGGGGAGGAAAGGAAGGGGGGAAAAAAGGAAAAGGGAAGGGAAGGAAAGGAAGGGGGGAAAGGAATGGGGAAGGAAAGGAAGGGGGGAAAAGGAAAGGGGAAGGAAAAAAGGAAAGGAAGGGGGGAAAAGGAAAGGGAGAGGAAAGAAAGGGGGAAAAGGAAAGGGGAGGAGAGGGGGGGGGGAAAAGAAAGGGGGAAGAAAGGAAGGGAAAAAGAGGAAAGGGGAAAGAAAGTAGGGGGAAAAGGAAAGGGAGAGGAAAAGAGGGGGGAAAAAATGAGAGGAGGGGGGAAAAGGAAAGGGCGAGGAAAGGAGGGGACAAAAGGAAAGGGCGAGGAAAAACGGGGGGAAAAAGGAAAAGGGAAGGAAAGGAGGAGGGGGTGGGGGAAAAGGAAAGGAGGGGGGTAAAAGCGGGGTCACGGACCTTCCTCTTGTGCCGGTGGATGTCGCCGATGGAGTTGGCCACGGTGTTGGGGCCCAGCAGCATCCGCGTGCTCCGCGGCCACTCGGTGCTCACCAGGTGGTGCTCCCCCATCAAGATCTTGCGCACGTTCTCCGCGCCCGTCACCCGCACCAGCGGCCGCCCCAGCAAGTGCGTCTTGAACACGTTCCCGTACTTCTCCCGCCGCGAGGACTGGAAGCAGGAGCCCTGCGGGGGTGCCCAGGGGTTGGGATGGGACGGGACGGGCGCGGGGTGGGGGGGGGGAAGGGGAATTTGGGGCGGAATTTTGGAGTTTTGGGGGGCGTTGGGGTCACCCCGCGTCCAGCCCGCCCGCTCTCCCCGCAGCCCGGCGGGGGTCGGTGCCTTCCTTCCCCCCTTCCTCCTCCTCCTCCTCCCTTTACCTCCCCTGTCACTTTTACACATATTCCTATTTTTCCTCCTCTTCCCCCCCCCCTTTTTTTCCCCCTCCTTCACACCCTCCCTCTTTTTTCCCCCCTCGCTTTTTGCCTCTTTTTTTTTCTCCCCTCTTTTTTCTCCCCTCCCTCCTCGCTCGGGCTGATTTTCCTCGAGAAAGGCAGCGCTTTGCCTAAGTAAATCTCCAGATTTCAGGGACTTTAATAACTTTCCCACATGCTCCAGGGGCTTTTGTCGGCGGAGAGGCGGCCGGAGCCGCAGCAATAGCGGGGGCGGGGGTCCCCAAAAAACCCCCCTGGCGAGCGGGGAGAGCCGCGGCCGCGCCGCCGGGCTGGGAGCGCGGGTGTTTATTTTGAAACAAAAGCGCGGTTGTGAGGTTCAGATGTTCAGGTGACCCTGTTTCTTGATCTGCGTAAATATAATTAAAGTCCTTTTTGTGGCATTAATAAAGAGTTATTTGTACACCATTTCCAGGGCAGCACAAAGAGCACCTTTATGCGGCACAAGTTGCGAATGGAGTCCAATTTATACAAAATTTTTGTATTTTTAGCCCTGGACTCTGTTTGGACGGAGCCTGCTGGAAAAGCGAGAACCCTTTTCTGGTCCCCCTGTAAAAATCTGATAAATTTCTTTAAAAAATAAAGCCCTATTGAGAGCGTGCCGTTAACCCCTTCGGCGCCGGGGGCGGCCGGCGGAGCGGGGCCGCCGCGCCGGGGCTTCCCCAGCGCTGGCGGGGAGGGGACACCGGGGGACGCCGCCGCTGTCCCCGCCGGGACCGGGCTGTCCTGCCCCGCCGCCGGCTGCGGCGATGAAGGGCGGGAGCATCCTCCTTTGATTATTATTATTAATTTTTTTTTTCTTTTTGCTGCTGCGAGGAGAGAAGGGGAAACCCTGGCGCGGCTTCGCCTCGGGGGTTCCCTCCCGGGATGCTGCGAGCCCCGGGGCGCCCCGAGGCTCCCCCCGGAGCCGGGCACCCCCCGGCCGCCTCCTGCCTCTCCTCCTGTGGGGTTTTTTTTTCCCCCCTTTCCCCCCGATTTTTTGGCAGCCGCCCCGCGGTGCGCGGGGGGGATCCCGCTCCGCCCGCCGCTGTTGGGCGTTTAGCGAGGTTAATCCCGGGTTAATCTCCCGATTACCTCGGCGGGCTTCCCCCGCCGCGGGAGCCGGGCCGGGAGCAGCGCCGGCAGCGCGGAAGGGACGGGACGGAGCCGCGGCTCGGGGGGGGACGCGAGCGGCGGAGCCCCCGCATCCAGCCCGGGCCGCCTCCGCCCGCGGCTCCGGCGCTGCGGGTTTCGGGTTTTGGCAGGAATTGAGGCTGAGGAGGGGAGCGGGAGCAGGAGGAGGAGCAGGAGGAGCGGGTGGGCAGCGCGGGGGCGATGCCGAGCCCGGGGCAGCCCCGCCGAGCCCGGCCGCGCTCCCGCGGTGCCCCCGCCGCTCGCCCGGCTCCGGCTCTGCCGCCCCGGAGCCGCATGATGCAATCGGAAGGGAAAGAAGACGGGGGAGAAAAAAAAAATACAGCGAGAAAGAGCCCTAAAATGCCCCTAAAACAACACCGATCCAAGGGGGAGAAAAAAAGAAGGAAAAAAAAAACCCTAAAAAACCACCCGGTCCCGACCCGGGTTCCAGCGAGGAGCAGGGAACGAGGGAATCCTCCTTACCTGCAGCAGCCAGTGGAAGGTCTCTCCGATTAAAGGGAATCCCATGGAGCCTTTGGGGATTGGTAGCTTGCAGGTTTTGTCGCGGGTGGCAGCCCAGCGGAGCTGCCACAGCTGTTGGGACACGGCCAGCAGCAAAGTCAGTGACACCAAGCACGCGGCGAGGGTAGCCAGTGCCGAGACGAGATCAAAACTTGCAAAAAGCATATTTGGAAAGAAGGGAGGAGGAGGAGGGTGGGGAGAGAAACGGCCCCTTGACAGGCACCACGCTCGCACCCACACACACGCGCGGAGGGACGGCGAGCGCGGAGCGCCCGCTCGGAGCTGCTTGGGGGGTCCTGGGGCGAGGGGGGCCCCGGCTCGCCCCCCTCGGCGCTGGCAGGTTGGGGAAGCGGCGAGGGGAAAGAGGGGGAAAGGAGGAAAAAATTAAAAACAAACACACAAAAAATAATAATTAAAAAATAGGGGGGAAAAAAAGAAGCTGTGGTTGCTGCGCCCCTCGCTGCGAAGTTTGGGCTTGTTTGGGGTAAACTTGACGGAGTGACACGGAGAGAAAGCACCACGCGCGCACGGAGAGGGGAAAGGGGGGGGAAAAAACAACAAAAAAAAAAAGAGGAAAAGCAGCGGCCCCCCCAAAAAAATGGGGTGGGGGTGATGAGGAGGGGAAAAGGCGAGGGTAAAAAAATTAGCAAAAAAAGAAAAAAATGATAAAGAAGAAAAAAATGGAAAAAAGAAAAACCTTGGAGTGGCGGAAAAAAAAAAAAAAAAAAGACCCCAAAAAGTCCAACTGCAGATGCTCTGGCTCTCGCTCGCTTGCAAGGCAAAGCCACACACACCAGAAGGAGGGGGAAAAAAAAGAGGAGAAGTAAAAAAGGAAAAGAAGAAAAAGGGGGGGAAAGGGGGGAAAAAAAGGGGGGAAAAAGGAGCGAGATTAAAAAAAAAAAAAAGTTCAAAAAAATCTTAAAATAATTCAGCCACGAGCTGGAGAGATGGAAGAATTAAATAGCTGTATATATGTATCTACACACACGCAGCGAGCCGGCTCGGTTTATAGCTCTATCTCTACATATATATAAATATCTCCCTATAAATACAGATCTCTCGCGACGCCGCTTATTTGGGAGCCCCAGACTTTTCACCAGACTTCTGTAAAGGAGGAGGAAGGCAAAGGAGGAGAGGAGAGGAAAAAAAAAAAAAAAGTAAAAAAAAAAAAGGGAAAGAAAAAAAAAAAAAAAAGGGAGGCAGGGCTGCTGGGCAAAGCCCCTCTGCACTGTTCGCTTTGAGGCAAAAGAAAGTCAAATGTGTGTTTATATAGAGGCGGGGAAGCCGGGGCTGGGCCGGCCGCCAGCGCCGCTGCTCCCCCCGCGCCCCCACCCGCACTTCAGAGGCTCGGGGGGGCCGGGCCGGCCCGGGGGACGCGGCGCTGGAGCGTGCGAGCCCTGGCGCGGAGCCCGCGGCTCGGTCACGCCGCTCTGCTCGGCCTCATCCTCCTCCTCCTCCTCCTGCTGCTGCTGCTCTTTCTCCTCCTCTTCTCCTCCTCCTCCTGCCGCCGCCGCCGCTGCTGCTGCTGCTCCTTCGCCGCCGCCGGCCTGAGGAGGAGAGACGAGCGCGGCTCAGCCCCGCCGGAGCGACCCCCGCCCGCCCGCCCGCCCGCGTTAACCCTTGGAGAGGAGCGGAGGGCACCGGGAGCCTTCCCCCGACACCCTCAGCCCCCCCCCGGGACCCCCCGGGCGAGGGTCCCCCCGAGATTCGGTCCGGGATTTTGGCCTCGCTGTTCAACCCGAGATCGCGTTCCCCTTGCCACAGCCCCCTGCAGGATTTGATCCACTTGGGATTGTCCCCCGATATCCAAACCTTGGTCCTTTACCCTTTGCTACAGCCCCCTGCAGGATTTGATCCACTTGGGATTGTCCCCCCATATCCAATCCTTGGTCCTTTACCCTTTGCCACAGCACCCTACAGGATTTGACCCTCTTGGGATTGTCCCCCGATATCCAAACCTTGGTCCTTCTCCCCTTGCCACAGCCCCCTACAGGATTTGATCCTCTTGGGATTGTCCCCCCGATATCCAATCCTTGGTCATTCTCCCCTTGCCACAGCACCCTACAGGATTTGATCCTTGGTCCTTTTCCCTTTGCCACAACGCCCCCGGGCTTGTCCCCCCAATATTTAATCCCTGATCGCTTCCCCCTTGCCACAACCCCCCCCCCCCTTATTTAATCCTTCATTTGCCCCCCTCAATATTCAATCCTTGATCCTTCTCTCCTTGCCACACCCCGGCCCCCCAGTATTTGAACCCCCCGGGATTGTCCCCCCAATATTTAATCCTTGATCGCTCCCCCCTTACCACAACCCCCCCTTATTTAATCCTTAATTTGCCCCCCCAATATTTAATCTTGATTTGCCCCCCCCCCCCAATATTTCAATATTTAACCATCGATCATTTTCTCCTGGCAAAAATCCTCCCCCCTTTAACCCCTTGAACATCCCCCCCTCCCCAGGATTTAATCCTTGGTTGTTTCCCCCATAACAAAGTCACCCCAATATTTAATCATTGATTGCCCCCCCGATATTTAACCCCTTCGTGTTCCCCACTGACCACAACCCCCCAATATTTAACCCTGACTCCCCCTCGTGACGATCCCCCCAAATTTAATCCCCGATCGTTTCCCCCGATGTTTAATCCCTGATATTCCCCCCCCACAATGATTCCCCCCATATTTAACCCTTCACGACTTTTCCTCTCCCCCATATTTAAGCCCCAATTCCCCCCTTCCCTCCCCCCAATATTTAACCCTTCCCCCGGCAAAAATTTCTTCCCCCAATCAGTTCCCCCCTTTTTAATGACCCTCCCCCCCAATTAATCCCCTAATTATTTTCCCCTGTCCGTGATTTCTCCCTCTGCCCCCACCCAGGCACAGATTTACCCCAAACCTGACATTCATTCACCTCAATCATTGATTTTTTTTTCCCCCCCTCCCCAATAATTTCTCCCCGTCTGTTGATGTTCCCCTTCCATCATTTCCTCCCGGCAATAATTTCCCTCCCCCTTTGATGATGCTGACCCCCCCCCTCCTTTTCCCATTATTTCCCAGATTTCCCCCATTACAGAATTGTCCCCATCAGGATTTGCCCCCTTGCCATGACCGCCCCCCCCTTCCCAATTATTTCCCCCCTTGCATTAATCCCGAACACCCTCCCCTAATTACCAGTGATAATTAACATTGAAATGATTTCCTCAGTGCCCCCACCACATTTTGGGGTTTTGCTCTATTTTATTTTATTGGAGGGGGGGATTTTCCTGCTCCCCCTCCCCACAGCTTCCCAGGCCAGGCTGGGTGACGCCGCTTTTCCCAGGGGTGTCCCCATTATCCAGGAGGCTCCAACCCCCCAAAATTCCCTTATTTCCCCCCCTCCCACACCCCGGGATGGCAGCAGGTACCGGGGCCGCCCGCTCGCAGCCACGCATTTGCTTCGGATTACAGGAAAAACAAAAGTTCTTTGAGTTCCCCCTTCCCCTGCGCCCCCTCCCCGCCTGGCTCCGCTCTGTTCCCGCTGGGATCGCAGGGAACAGGGGCCGGGGGGGGTCCCCTCACCCCTTTTATTTTTGCGGTGACCCCGGGGGGGAGGATCCAGGCTTGATTCCCTCCCCCGCATCCCCCCCGAGGAACGGGATCCCCCCCGGAGCGCCCCAATTCCCGCACCCTGGGACTCCCAACCCCGCCACCCCGCTCCCCATCCCCGGGGGGATGGAAACCGCCCCCGCTAAAATCCCATCCCATGGGAATTCCCGGCACCATCCCAGTGCGGGGACCCCTCCTCTCGCCCCGCGGGTGCCCCCAGGCTGGGATCGGTCCCTGTGGAGCCGGGATCCCCTCCCGGGGCCGCCGCGTCCCGGGCCCGGAGCCCCCCGAGCCCCGCGGGCCCCGCGCCCGCCGCTCACTCCCGGCCCGACGGCCCCACCTGGTGGCGGCCGCGGGCACTGCAGGGGCGGCAGGTGGAGGTGGCCCCGGCCCCGCCCCGGCCCCGCCCCGGCCCCGCCCCCTCCTCCCCGCCGGGTGTCCCTGGGCTCGCCCCCAGTCGCTTCTCCGAAGCATCTTCCTGAAAAACATTCCCAAAAAACCTCCCCAAAGTGTCTTCCTGAATCTCTCACACAAATCTCCCCATGCCAAAGCACCTTCCCGAAAAACATTCCCCAAAAAACCTTCCCCTTCCCGAGAAACATTCCCTAAAAACCTTCCCAAAGAAGCTTCCTCAGTCTCTCACACAAATCTCCCCATCCTATAAAACCTTCCCGAGAAACATTCCCAAAAAACCTTCACCTTCCCAAAAAATATTCCCAAAAAACCTTTACCTTCCCAAAAAATATTCCCAAAAAACCTTCCCAAAGCAGCTTCCTGAATCTCTCACACAAATCTCCCCATCCCAAAGCACCTTCCTGAGAAACATTCCTAAAAAACCTTCCCCTTCCCGAAAAACATTCCCAAAAAACCTTCACCTTCCCAAAAAATATTCCCAAAAAACCTTCCCAAAGCAGCTTCCTGAATCTCTCACACAAATCTCCCCATCCTATAAAACCTTCCCGAGAAACATTCCCAAAAAACCTTCACCTTCCCAAAAAATATTCCCAAAAAACCTTCCCAAAGCAGCTTCCTGAATCTCTCACACAAATCTCCCCATCCCAAAGCACCTTCCTGAAAAACATTCCCAAAAAAACATTCCCCAAATACTTTTCCAGAGTCCCTTCCCAAAGTGTCTTCCCAAAATATTTGCCCCAAGTGGCTCCCAAAGTGCCTCGTGCTGTCCCAACTCCCCCCTTCCCAAAACACCTTCCCAGAGCATCTTCCTGAAGCCCCTTCCCAAAATATCTTCCCAGAATTCTCGCCCAAAGTGGCTCCCAAAAGGATCTTCCCAAAGCCCCTCGCGTTCTCCCAATGCACCTTCCCTAAACACCACCCAAAGCATTTTCCCAAAACCTGTTCCCAAAGAATGTTCCTAAAACACCTGCTCCAGGCGCCTCGTGCCTTCCCAAAACGCCTTCCCCAAAAGCCTTCCCAAAACACCTTCCCAGCTCTTACTGAAGCCCCTTCCCAAATCATCCTCCCCAAAATCCTGCTCCGAGCACTTCACACCTTCCAGAGGCGCCTTCCCAAAACCCCTTCCCTAAACACTTTCCCAAAATGATCCCTGGCCCCAGTGGAAAACAC